GTGTATTTATCACGATGGCCTAACTGACCTGCTTTCACCTCACCTATCATCTCTCACTAGTGCCCCACCAGCGTATACCGATAGCGCAGGTGGTGTTACCATTCCATTCTTATCCACTAAAATAAAATTACAGGTATGTGGTACTTAATAAGATTTGATTAAATTAATGAGCCCTAATGTATCATTCCTTTTTGTTTATTTAGATATTTTCATCAGCTTATAAAATTAGTCTGCAAAGATTTTTTAATTTATATTTGTACTATATAAAAGCAATCGAATATAATAAATATATGTCAACAAATTCTTGTGAACATATTTATCTCTTTATCCACTTAAAAAAGATTGTTCCAAACGTTTCAGATAAAGGAAGTTTAAAAGTATTAAGGTGCAGATACATCTAACGAAAAAAGAGCATAGAGCAAGACCTAGTCTTAGAGAAAAATATGTCGATTTAAGATATTTAATCCCAAACCAACTGTTACTAACTAAGTAAGAATAATGGTTAAAATAGAACAAGAGCGGTTTTACGAACTGCTAGAATACTCTTGTGCTTTTGACCTGCATTTTATATTCTGTTATGTCATGTATAACAACGTTAAATGAAATTATTATTCTGAGTTTATTAGAACATTGTTTCGAGAGCTATTTTTAACATTACATATACTTTACACTTTACGTTTTCGTTGAAGCGAGCATATTTATAGAATAAAAACTACCCATTCATAAATTCAACATAATTTTCTTACCTATGTTGCTATGCCAATTGCTACTCGTATTTTGAGTGTACGCTTTCAAAATATATTGTATGGCCATGTCACAATAGAAAGAAGAATTTTTAGAGCATTCTACAATATTGGTCGCGAATCCAGTAGATCAACAAAAGAATGCTCTTAGCACGTTTGCGCTAAATAAAAAATATGGTAGCTCTTACTTTATACTCATTGTTTGTTGGTGTCACTGCAACTTAAATGCAAAATGACAGATAACAAAAACGCCAATTAACAGACACATTAACGAGTTTTGACGAATGGTTCATGTATTAATGAACATTGGGACAAAGATACAATACAAGTAGTGACGAAGCTGTTCCGCGCAGGGGATTGGACTGGGAGGGATGTTATCGGACGATCACTAACGCATTTTTGTTAATAGCGCTCAATGTTAAAAGTCTAAAGCAAAGGAGAAGAGCGATTTTTCTTATTGTCTCAATTTGACGACAGCGAATAGGTGTAAAGTTATTACCGTAAGTTTTTTCTTATGAATATTACGCTAGATGGCAAGAAATAGTAGGCATTACTATTCAGTAGTAATTTTGATCTTATTAAGCTAGTAGGCCAAGGGATTGTTGATAATGGGGAAGTTAGTCCCCATTGCTAATGTGCCCTGTCAGTTCACCTTATTATCTCATCGTTTCATCCTTCACTGGTGCCCATTGTATACCGTTAGCATAAGTTATTAATAAATTTCATTTTCATGCATTAAAAATATATATTACATTAATCGTAAGAATTCGTAGAAATTAAGCATTGTCAGTATGTTTGACTTACAAATATAATCATAAATATCATGCTAGTATCTAAGAATCTGTTGTAATTATTTAAAAAGCTAAAAAAATCTATTCGCTTTAATGAATATAGATAGATACTCTTTATTGTTTCTTCCAAAAGATTACAATAGTAAACTTATAAACAATTACAAGAAATAATCACAATGAGAAAACAATGGGCGATAAAAAAAGAATATAGTATATAACCAATTTTAAAGAAACGTGTAATTGTATAATTTATTCTCAAATAATTCATCTGAAATTCGAAATTGATTTGGACACTGAATAATACAAATACAAAAAAAAAAGTTTGGGAATCACTGGATATTGATTAGATTTTTTTGTTTAATTCCGCTACCTTTAGTATGTATGTGATTGCAAACACTCGAAGATTAACCACTATTATTATTATTAATTAAACAATATAATTCTAATCAAATAACTAGTGATATAAACTTAAGGAAGATAACACCTAGTTAAGTAAAAAAATTTTGATATCTACTAATATTATGAAGATAGTTAAATACTTCGTGAGAGTAACAATAAGCTTATAACTTACACCAGGGCTCGCGTCCCCTCGCAGAGGGTCAGTGTAACAGTGGGGGACCGATGACAACCCCAAATAGAAAGGGCTCTCGGAGAAAACTTCTTCCCTTCCTTTTATATGAGCTTCATAGAATTCCGCTTAGACGAGCTACGCGATATATTGCGATTTAGTTACATGTGTTTATATTTGGTTTTACTGACGCTACTTTTCTACTTTCCTTTGTGCGGAAGTGAAATAGGTGTCCTTTGTGGACCATAATCTGATTGTTTTCATTATGCTTGATAATACCATTGGAAATAAAGTAAATAGAAAAAAACTGAACAAAAAGATTTTTAACATTAATCTATTTGTATAGTATTAATAATTTTAAATAGAATTGGGAACCGAAAACAATAGAAAAATAATCATAAAAATATAGTATAACATATATTTTTTTAAATTGTGGTAGTCTTATTTAATTTTAACTACTATATTATAAAACTGAATCAAAGCCAACAACGAACTAATTTCTAAAAATATCTTTTTGGAAATTAGTTCAAGACAGTCTATTTTTTTTTAATACATGTATTTTGTAGTGAACAAATAAAATAGTTTATCTAAGTAAAATATTGTTTGTTGTTTCAAAGTTAGCATGTTCTATACATACACGTACGTATAAATAATGACAGAATTTTTATCGTGCCTCCGATCAAATTTTCCTCTCCATCCAAAGGTTGCCTAAAAGAGATCGCTTTCAGAGATAAGGCCGCCCATTGTTTTCTCGGTGTGATCATTTCTTGTAATTGTTTGTATCTATAATGAGTTTACTATACAGTAATCTTTTGGAGGAAACAATAAAGAGTATCTATCTATTATTTGAAATACTTGTATTTTACGCTGTTTTTATTAAAATGTTTATGCTAAGGACAAACAGTGACTTATATATAAATATGTATAATAGTGACTTATATACAAACATTTCAATATAACAACACCATAAGTCCTTAAAACGAAATAGGCATTGAGTTGACCTGTCTCACGGCGTTACGTTAGAATTATGCCAAATGTTGCCACTTGTCACAGTTCGGTCGAGTAGGAACTTTTATGTCTTACTTTTTGCTTGTTTCAATAGCATTTAAGAAAAGATAACCAAATGTTGATATTATCATAAATATAGATGGCCAACTTGTTATTAGTTTGTTTATTAAATTCTTAAGAAATAGACTGTAGTAATCAATTTATAATTGGAAATAATTTACGTAACGTACCAATACCAATATTGTACATTACAATTCTATTTTAGGATCAGGGAGACGCTATTTCAAGCAGTATATTAAACCACTACACCACATTCCACAACTGTTACAAACGCGAAAGTTTGTGAAGATGGATGGATGTTTGTTACTTTTTCACGCAAAAACTACTGAACGAATTTAAGTCAAATTTTGTACACGGGTAGACCCGTATAAAGTATCTTATATAAGTTTATATAAAAAGTACTTTATATTGATTTCGTGAAGTCATGAGATACAGATAGTGCAATTTATTTAATAATATATAATGAAGTATTAATTTTAGCAGTTTATAATTTGAATATATTATTATAATCACAGACACTGGGAAATACACGAAATAATAGTAAATAAATAATCAAGATACACTATCGGAGACTAAAAGATTGCATCCAAATTATGCACTCGTTTTTAAACATCAGATCCGGAGATACTTAGAACCCAATATATTGAAATGTTTTTGCAATATTTTTTTAATATGATGATGATGACACACAATTTGTTATTTGTGATAAATATTCTTCTTAGAATAACAACTTGTCTCCTTTCATTTCATTTTAAAGCATTTAAGATAGCAATTTTTGTTTAGGACGATTTTTTTATATGTATGTTAAAAATAAGCAAACGTTAAATACAATAAAATACCATAATTGTAATTAGTTTAATTATTTTGTTAATACAGGAAAATTGCAACCTATTTATATATCTAGTTTTATAACTATAAAATAACACATTATATAGGTAATACATAATTTATGTGCTAAGTTAACCTCAATCAACGTGTAATTAAATCATAACCGGTTCAATAATTCCAGCTGGGATGATTTGTGGCGAGCCGGATGGAACGGATGGCGTGGCGTGGCTGAGACGGACGGCGGAAAGCGAGCGAGCGACGCGTGGGCGGCGAGCGGGGTGAAACGAGCTGACGTCATCGCGCACATGCGCAGTAGACGACTCCTTGTTGTGTAGAGTAAGTCTGGAATACAGAGAAACTAAATGTTTTCATCTTGTATGGCGGCTGCAATAATGTTGAAATGGAATAAATTAATAATTTTAGACTAATTTCTCTAGAAACTAGAGGGAAATAGAAAAAAAATACTAATTAATTTAAGTTACATGTTTAGAACATTTTTAAAATATTTATATAGAATTTGTCATTACTTTAAAAATATTATAAAAATTAAAATTAATTAAATATTGATACTATATCTATTCTATATCATATTTCCATAGTATTTATGTAAAGAGAATTATCAAATTTTTTTGTAATATTTAAATACAACCAATAATGTTATATTATTTAATTATAAGTAACATTATTTGTGAAGAAGTTGTTTAATTTTTTATATATTTTAAGTATTATTGGATACTTTTATTGGCACTTGGAACAAGAAAATAATAACTACATATAGTCATAGTATAGATTTAATAATAATTTTAAAGTTACTATTTAATCTAGTAAGTTTTGTAACTTTAAACTTATTATTAAATCTTTGCTATGACTATATGTAGTTATTTTTTTCTTATTATAATATATTAATATTTACCGTGTAAAAAAGAAACAGTGTTACATCTGTATCCGATAGGTGGACTGTGCACGGCAATCCGTGTCGGCGTCGGCAGCGGGGCGACCAGTCGACTCGGCCGCGCGTACTGCTACGATCGCGCTCTACGGCCACGCTACGCCGCCGCCACGCTACGTTACGTAGCGTAACAACTACGCCGCTACGGCGCGCCGCGATCTTCCCAAATACCTGTGACTGTGTGTACGATACCGATGAATTTGTTCAGTGCGTACGCGTGATCTGTGATATACCGTATGTGTGTGTCGACGTCACTACTTGAATAAGGTGGGTGCATGCTTTATAAGCTATGAATACTATTAGATGCTAGCAAAATCTAATGTCAAGGACACGTTTATTGATCAAGCAGATGTGGGAGCCTGTTCCATTGATGTTTACACTATTCGCCTTGTGTTTGCTCTTTTACCTCTAGTGTTTACCTTCAGACACGCCTAGTAATAAAGTCTTAGAACGTTTTCAAAAGATAATTTCAGAAATGTACTATAAAATAATGCGCGACAAAGGAATGATTATTTGAAGCGGCGATTAATAATTTATAAGGTGAGGTGCTATGTGGGGTAAGGAGCTTATGAATTAAAAACGTTCCTACAAAATATGGGGCTAAGCCTGTTTTGTTCTATCATTAAAAACAAATCGTACGATTTTAATTGAAAGAGCTGGAGATTGATAGAAGATGATAGAAAAAAGAAGATAAGTTATAAAATAAATAACAGAAAATAAGGTACAACTATTTATGCTATGAAGTTATTGCTTATTATAACATAATCCAAAATATAAATATGAAAGTTTGTAAATATAATTGGTTGTTTGTTACGGATTTAAATGGAATTTTGTATACAAGTATATAATATATCGTATTTTTATTTTACACTGGAAAAGGGGAGTACATCTATACTAACATTATAAAGAGGAAAGATTTGAACGTTTGTTTGTAATGAATAAACACAAAAACTATTCAACCGTTTTCAAAATTCTTCCACCTTTGGAAAGCTACATTATTAGCGAGTAACATGGGATATTAGGTCCTAAAATTGGTGCTGGCTGCGGGCTGGATCGCTAGTACCTAATATATTGTGGAGTACTTACTACCTCTATGTGTCTTCCTATTTATATGACGTGGTTTTCCGTATATTTAGGATTTTCCATGAACTTTTACAAATAAATAGATATAGAATAAAATATTAAACTTTGTCCTTAGCAAAATACATGAGGGTTCTATGGGCGGCACAGAATATTTTATTTTGTTCATAACTAAGTGACCGTTATCATTTTATATAAGTTGGAAATAAACTTGTTTGTATATTTTTGCCAGTATAAGAAAAAAACAATATAAATATGCCTCTGGTTTCAAAGCAACTGCATTTTATTATACCGTAAGTTTTACTAAGTATGTCATTTTTAACTGACTGAGGCATAAAGGAGAGTAATATATTTCGGGTGTCTTATGTTTGTTTTTACAATAATATCCGGTTATACTAGTCGTATGATTTGATCATGCTGTGTACGAATATTTTTAGAGGGTTAACTTGAACAAAATATTATTGTACCGTATAAAATATTATAATATTGTTAATTCTCTGCAGTGTATACCTACTGAAATAAAAATAAAATAAAAAAGTAGCCAGCGCAACATATTACTTAAACAGCTTGATAGATTTTTAATAAATAGATCATTTTTAATTATATAATATATAAAATAATATTATATATAATAATAAATAGCTGCTTTACGATAAAAGTCCACACAGTCGAATATAATGAAACAACATACAAACAAACAAACACACACACACACATACATACAAAACACACACACACACACATACACACACACACACACACACACACACACACACACACACACACACAATAATAATGAAACAGTACGTTTAATTTTAACCACGTATTATTAAGTTTTATCATCAGTCTTACAATTTTTATCTTCGAACATTCTATAGATTTCTTTCAGCATCTCAAAGGTTGATTGTAAGAGATCCCTCTGTGGGATAAGTCTGCCATTGTATATTAAATCTTCTTATACGTCCAATATAAAGTATGTTCAATAAAGATTTTATAATACGATACCATATGTTTCGGTTTATAGTGTGGGATGTTGCAGTAAAATTGCAGAGTACGACGGAATATCTTATTCAGGGTTCATAGCGTATGAAGTGTCAATAGATATCACTTTGTATTCTGTGACAACTACGGTGCTGTTCATGTTTATAGGTGACGAATATTTGTTTGTCATCAGGTTGACTATCGATTCATATGACATTTTAATTTATATGAAAAAATATATTTATAAATATAAATAATTTCGTACGTTTAATTTCAAAAGTAGGATAACTAATGAAAAAAACAATTTCTTGATGGTATATCAAGATAAGATAAAATACACAAAATTTTAAATTAGACCTTCAGGAATACAACTGAGAAAATCGCGTACAAATTGATGCAGTAGTTTTTGCGTGATATGGGAACAAACATACGGATGTTTATGTGTTGATACGGACAATGTTTTCGTATTTATTGCTATTTTTAATTTACTTCACTTCCATTTTTCTTAAATATCTCCCATGTACAAATATTGTATAGTTACAATTTTATTATATTAGTAAGATTATAATAAAAACGAGATGAAACCTAAATTATACAGTATGTTGTAATACGATAATGAGTCGTAAATAATGATTTTGGAGATTTTACTCTATTTTAGAAGAATATTATAATAAATATGAATTAACATATCACTATCAGCCGCTTACTGTCCGCTGCTGAACGTAGGCCTCCCTCTTGGGTTTTATCAATAGCTACCATACTTGGCAGGCGGGTTGTAAACCGCAATTAGGCTTTACTGATACTTTAAGAGGCACCCTGCCACTCATCCCTCGACCATTAAGTTACCTTAGTGTTCTCTTACAGAAATCATGGGAAAGCAAGCGGTGGCCCATTCTATGCCGGGACCACACGGTAAATATAAAATATTATAAATGTGAAAATTTAAAATGATGTTTGAACGTTCGATATTTGTTACTCAATCACGCTTAAATGACTCGACAGATTTGAATAGAATTTGATATACCTTTACGCTATATCCTAACTTAACGAACAAGATATACTGTACATTATATACCTTATTTACGTGGGCAAAGACGAGGGATACAGCCAGTGGTAAATAAATGATTTGATTCCATTCCTATACAGAGCTCTCGTCTGTATAGGAATAAAATTGTGAATAGAAACCGTTACATTTTGAGAGAATTTTCTGAATGTGCCATCTATTGCGTATAAAAAAAGATTTTATTACGGAATTTTCCTAATATTCACCAACAAGCTTCATTTGCGAAGCACTAAAAGAAAGTTTACTGGCACGGTTATTGGATAAGCGATCAAATCCGATGAAGATATTTGATTCTTAAGTTTTGTAAATAAGTAAGTCTTCTAGACAGAATTTCTCGTTCATTATCTTTTGATTACTTCAACAGTATTTTATTACTTTAATAGCTTTATCGTTTTTGAAATCGAAATCTTTAGCATCTTCTTAAGGGTATATTCTATCCTTTTTCAAAGTAACATGATAAATGATAAAATCTGAGTACTCAATATTAATATGGCGCACTCCTATTGATATAGGAAGCTCAACAGTTAGAAATAACAAATATGTTTGTTACTATGGTAAGTTAATTAAATTAAAATATATGTATATATTTTGCTAAAAATCTTATGAGCTGATAATAGCTGATTATGGGCTGCTTAATATGAACTGTTAACTGTTCATTGCTGCACATTGGCCTCCATTCTGAGAGGTTTTACCAATAATTGCTAGGCTTGGCAGGCGGGTTTGCAATTGCAGTTAGGCTTTGGTGACATTTTAAAAGGAACGCCCATCCCTCGACCATAACATTCTATTCATTCTATGCTGCAACAACAGGGCTTAATGTAAAATATATGTACATTTGATGGAATTAAAACCAGATATTCTTTACCACTCAACTATTGAACATACTAACAACCATAAAATATCATAATTATATGACACGAAAACAACGCCTTAATTAGTTTTCGAAGTAAATAAATAAAAAACTTTTACTTTTCCCAACCCTCTATTTTTAACAACGTAGTGGAACCATTTTATAAGTCTCACGATTGGTTATTTGGGTTTATAAATCACTGGAACTTTAACTTATATTTGTTTCTTAAAATATCTCAACGTTAACACGATGAATTTGTACTGCAATAGTATTCCTTTCTGTATCGTATGAAATCGTCAAATCTCTAATCTTCCATTAACATTTCAATACTACCCACTGAATTCCGCCACAAAGCTAAGCATCATTAACATTATCTCGCAATAACAAGGCCACGCCTGGAACTGAACCGTCAATGAGCCCGCTGTGATCCTATCTTTATGCTAAAATGAACATTTCCATGCGCCACAATTCGATTTTCGATGGCGCCCTCATTCACTTACTATTTTGCCCATGTATAGTCCCTTATATTAGATAATATTCTTATGTGTCATAATTTGTAATTCAATTGACTTTCCTTCTTATTTTTATGAAGCTTTTACACCTATTTATAAAATATTATATATATCTTCCATATTTATTTATATATTATACTATATATACATACATACATATATATATATATATATATATATATATATATATATATATATATATATATATATATATATACAAACACACACACACAAATACATAGAGACACATATTACAATGCCTATGTTTCAGTTTTAGCATAATATACATAAATACTCGTATATGTATTCAAGAATATCTATATCTGTTTTATTCATTGAGGTACTTTCTACATATAATATGTATGTATTTACGGCAAAAAATGTATCTGTATAAGTAGAACAAGCATTTGTTTAGGATAATTCAATAATAAGAAACACCGTGATACAAACTCTACGTAGTTTAAAACTAGATGACGCTTGATGAAATGTATAGAATTGTTTATTTATTAAGTGTAATATTTTTATAGTCTTAAAACACCATTAATGAACATCAATCACAAGCCTCTTAAGTTTGTAGCTACCATTGTCATTACATTCAAAACAAGGCTTTGACATGACCCGACTTGTAGGAAACGGCATTTAACGACCCCTTCCCTAATTGTGGAGCATTATATACCCGCCAGAGACATCTATCATAGTGTTCTTAGCAGTTAGTGAAGAATATAATTGTATGTTGTATATTGACAATGAAATATGTACTATATATAGTTTAAAATAAAGG